TTAAAGGATCGTTTTTGAACTGCTATACATGTAGTTTTGAGGCTTGTTTATGATTTCCGGCCACTGAAATTCGTCTTCATAATCAACAGCTTGTGTAAACTCGATAAATAAAATAACTAACGTTTACTTATCGGATTAAATTGAGGTTTGTGTATTGCGCCTCTGTTGACGTAGGAGGCATTGTTGTTAATTAATTTATTAATTTAAAATGTTTGTCATTCTTTTTGGTTGTGTTTTGCACATCTTTTATCTGAAATTTCTGGGCGTCGGCTCACAATTTTCCCATTTTTTGCTAAAGTAATATTCTCTTGGAAGCACGTAATAAATCTATGCAGTAACTTTTTAAGTTTGAAAAGCAGCGTTTTTTGGTCCATGAGGACGCACATTTGAGACTTTCCTTTATCTAAATAAGATTTAGTTGCGCTTTACCCAAAAACGTGTAATTTGCATCAAGCATCCAGTGGCATATAAATATGTGGACTTTTTGGTCCTTGTTTTCCTTAATAATTTGCACTTTTCGGCGTAATGTACTGTGTTTGGTTGACTGCATAGGAAAAGCAGTTTCTATGCTTTCTGAAGTGATTTCAGATAATTCGTTTATTGCTGTCCTTTATACCTAACATTTTTGTTTATAATTTTAAGAACTGAGTATTCAGCTGTCAAAACAAAGATCCGCTATGTGCTAATTACAGGGCATCCCAACGTGACCGCTAAGGAAACTGTATACAGAATGATCAGTTTTGAGACATAGGTTTTAATGTTTTACACACCCTGTTATTAACATTATTGAGTCTTTGACACCTTAAAAATAATGTGGACTATTTCTGAGCCACAGATATCTGCATCTTGAAAAATTGCAAGCAGCTATATTCACTCTAGCCAGCATAAACATGCCTACTTTAATGTACACACTGAACACTTATTACTGCTGTGTTCAATTGTTGCAGCACCCGAGATGCCGGAACTCGTCTGGATTGATTATTACAAAGGACGGCCACTATTAGATATCAAGTGGCTTGAGCCTCGGTTGAATGGACACCTATTTCAATACACCATTAAGTGGTTTGCCGAAGGTCAACGTGTTCGGGAAGAATGGTTAACCATGACCCGCCTCATAACCAACCCACTCGAAAAGGGTTACTATTTCGTAGAACTTTATGCCAGTACATTACCTAACCAGAGAAACGAGGGTGGTGGTGACAGTCCCACAAACAGGGTTGGACCAATTCCGATTCCACCTAGTAAGCCGTATTTTTTCTCTAGCATTTTTTTCCAAAACGTTATAGTGATATCCTGTTCGATTATTCATTCTTTGTCTATTCCTTATATATCATTTTTGTCGAAGAAATTTTTTTCCATTACAAGAAAACTTTAACTAGAGTCCCCTGATCCTGATATTTCCCCTCCAGGAGCGCTTTGAGTAGTTTCAAAAATGTGATACAAATAAACAGTCAAAGAAGGGATAAAGCATTTAATTGTTTAAAAGTTGGACAAAGAGAAATCATGACTGAGTACCTGCTGATACGGGCGCATATATAGAAAAATGCGAAGCTTTAAAATGTTTTGAGATATCGTCGTCAGTTGGGACTTCATGGTAACTTGCCAGAGACGGGAATGAAAATACAATATGTTACTCGAGAATCTGCGGAAAAATGTATATGTTATTAGCTGCAGCGACTGCTATATCTTATCGTTTAAAGGCGGATTAAAGCAAATTAATTCCCAGTAGACGATCATACTCGTGACATAACTCAGATCGAATTTTATGCGGTTTTACTTAAATCCGAATCGTCTATATGAACTGAAGAAAGTTATATTTTTTATATATGCACAATATTATAACATTAATGGAGGGAACAACTAAATTTCCCAAATATATTTTTGTCCATACTCTTCTCGCTCAGAAAATGAAACATTTAATCAAGCTTCCGCTCATTGGTCCTCCGTGTCCCACAACTATAAAGTGTGCATTTTATTCAAATGCAAATGATACCACTGTGTGAATATGATGAGGTTGTAGGGCAAAATGTTACAGGATTACTGATCTAGAAGTAAGGCCAAATAAAACTTACCAGTCGAGACGACGTCGCATTTTCTTCTATAAAATATCGTTCCATACATCTATGAAAGCTTTTCAGTAACCTGGTTTTTTTCTCATTGCCTTTTTCTAGTTAAATTCAATGTCTCGCTTGTACTTACACAAGTCAAGTTGGGTGCCATTCGCCTTCAATGGGACTTTTCACAAGTAGAAACAGCCTGTGGTATCTACTCGAACACAATCTACTACACCCACGAAAATCACACTCACAAGGATGTCTTGATTCCAGCCTCAGACCAATATATCTTGACTAATCTCGATCCAGGTGTAAACTACGCGTTACGAGTCACTGCTGATTGTGTTGGGTCAATAGCTGCGATTACAAAGGAGGTCCAAATCACACCGGAACAGCACCGTGCGTAAATTATTAACCCATATTCCTAAGACGCATTTTCAATGCTTTTCTGTAATAACCAAATCCAGTTTATTGCCGTGACAAGAAGGTAGTCACGTGTTCTGTGAGAGGAAATCCCACAAAGGAAGAAGGTGCTATTATTGGAACAAAAAATTTGTTAGCATGACGTTTCAGATCCTCGCCCGAACCCAGCACCAATGGCAGTCGCAGATACGGATAGTGGTGGCACAATGAATGCAGTATTTCTGGTACGTAGCTGCCGTGCAGCTGCATGCGTATTTAAATTAATAGCCCTCGCGATCCCCGTTGGGGGTCGTAATTGATGCGATGACGGCTTGTCAGTCCGCATCTGAGTCGTTTGTTCCCACGATTTAATCATCCGTATTGGGCGTTGGCATAATGATTACTCGGCCATTTGGCTGGCCTTAAATAAAATTGTTGCTCGTCCGCGCCCTCCCCACGTGACTGATTCCCATTCCTGGCTCGAGCTCTCGCGGATCACGCGGTTGTCACCTCCTGCGCGGATTTCAACCTCTTGAAACTTACAAATGTAGCCGGACCCCGTCGTAGGAGTTGCCATCTGAGGGATATCATCTCCCCCAGTGATCGCGCCTTCTTCTAAACTGCTCCCTGAAATTCGGCTGTTCTCTTCTATCAGCAGAAAACCCTACGCCTGGTGAACAAACATACACAGTTTTCTTTGGAATATTCTTGCGTTTTGAGTTTGTTTTTTTAAGTGAACCAGATGAACTGATGTCCGTCCTACCTAAAAAAAACCCCAAGAGTAAATGCCATCCACCCTACAAACCTATAGGTGGACGCCTTAGACTGCGAGATGTGAGGAAACGTGTGCATAAGATACGGAAATTGCCGATGCAAAACCTTTTCCCACACAAAGAGGAGCATTGGCAGCTTCCAAGAGGGTTGATGAATGCAGATTTCATTCGTGGCAAAATGCCTCCGTATTCGGAATTGGGTGGAAAACATGTGTGATGCGATGGCAGGTTTCTGTTATGGCACCCCCTCTGCCTTTTTAAGTTGAAACTATCCCCTTGCGCTAACATAAGCAATCCCTCGTTCAGCTCCGTCGGCGCCCCAAAATCTGGTCGTGAAGGTGACTTCAAACAGTATGGACGTGTCTTGGAGCCCGCCTGCCACACCCAATGGCATACTTAGAGCATACAATGTTAGCATCGATATTGGGACAACTGCCAGCAAACAGGTGGAAGGTCTTAATACGAGCTTCGCAGATCTGAAACCACTGACCACTTACAAGGTTACCGTCAGAGCTCAAACTGCCGCCGGCTATGGATCTGCCGCCTCAGTAACTGTTACCACGGATCCAGACGGTATGAAAGTTACAATTTTTAGCACGCTTTCTCCTTTACTTTACATCTTATCAGATTGGCGGACGAGATTCTTGCATAGAGGTTTCATGCTGTCTGATCACAGATCCAGACGGTATGAAAGACACAATTTTAGCATGCTCTCTCCTTTAATTTACATTTTATCTGATTTGCAGACGAGATTCTTGCACAGGGATTTCATGTTTCTGAGAAAAAGTTTTGGCCTTATAGCCCTTGAAATAACAGCCCAGACTATATATTAGCCTTCCCGGCCTAGTGCTGGAGTTGGCAACCTACATCTCCCCTTTCTATCGGCATTGCTCTGGAACTCGCGAATACTTCGTTGAGATATTAACTAAAATTTAAATCTTACATTGCAGCGCACCCATTTAGCCCGGCGGACATTTATGGGTTATAAAAGGGCTAGAGTATTGCGATTACTTTTTCAACGTTTTGACATCTCAGTAAAAATAGAACTTCGCCTCTCTGCATTTTAAAGCATCAGCCGCAAGATTCACGTTTAGATATTAATCAACTACCGACAAATGAAATCGCGAAAAGCTCCGGACACTAACTATTACATATTTAATCTCTCAACACTCATCTATATCAGCAAAATGCTGCATACACAGAAACGACCTTTTCGACTCAAATCTACGTGCATAAAATGAAAAAAAGTTGGTTTAGCCACTGTAAGAGGCGTTGTATATCTTAGTTTTTATATTTATCACGTAGAAGAGGCAATTACCGATCGGGAATATCTTTGTTTATTTAAATGTACTTCGCTTTATGTGAGACAGTGACTTTCTGATTTTTCCGACCCAAGTAACGTAAGTACGACTTTAAGTAAAAATGTCATTAAGTTAAAGTGTGAGGAACAGGCCACCGGGAGATAAAGTTGGGTGATGGATTTGCTAAGTTATGTTTATTGTGGGGCTGCGGGGATCAGATCACCAATACACTTAGTTTATTTGTTCAAATGTCCTTAGAAATGGGTGATTAAAAACCTACTCCGTTTGCTAAAGAAGTAGTAGCAAGGATCCAGGCATACAAAACGTTTGCGTTTTCGTCCATTCTGTGAGCATCAATGACAGGACAACTGTCAGCAAGGATGTAGAAGGCCTTAGTGCAAGCTTCTCGAATCTCAAACCCCTGAACACATACACGGTAACCGTCAGGGCTAAAACCTCAGCCGATCAAGGACTTGCCGCCTCGATAACAGTCACAACGGATCCGGACGATATGACATGCACAATTTAAGCATTCCTTTTTATCATAAGTGGCATCCCATCAGCCAGCCGGATGCGATTTTGCATGACGGTTTCCCACTGACTACAATCAAGGATATGTAATTTGACAGTTTTCAAGGGTCATGCGAAATACTTGATCAAAGCCCTCGAACGCTGTCATGAGCATTAATACCTATCACGTGAGTCGGTATAGCAGTCGACTTTCATTGTGTTGAAAGGAACGTCTTGCTGTGTTTAATTTCGTCATTTTGGCTGTTTACGTCCACGGTAGAACAAACAGTGGTTTGACCGTAAATTCACCATTGGTTTTTCGTGTCCACTGGAAAAATTCTTCGTACTCAAGGTCCGCCGATAGGTTATGGGACCCGCTCAGTGGATAGAGCTTAATAACCCAAATGATGCGGACTGGGGTCTTGGGTGGCCTCGAGCCTGGAGTTTCAGTACGGCTGGCTAGCGACGACTAGTGGGGTAGAAATTTTCCTTCCAGTCTCTCCTATCTTTATGGGAAGTAGGAAAGGTAGAGGTAAATTATGCTGACAGATAGGGAGTATAACCACGGAGGAGGACAGTCTTCGTATCCTCAGCACAGAAATATAATGACCAGCTCTAATATCCGAAATGATGGATCGACTAATAGCAGAAGTATATAATCTGTATACGCTGCGTTTGGAAGATAGGTTGGAAGCTTGTCGCAAAATGAATGATGGTGATGTACTATCAACCCCGTTATTCAACAGGATATTGAAGCCTTTTCCTGTCGAGTTGTATCAAATAGGCCAGTTATCGACAGGAATATGCTGCTGGTTACCTAGCAAATCAAAATAATGTGTCTGTTGAGCCGCTCGATGTTTGCTCATCGATTTCATGACTGAAAGCCTAAATCAATGCGTCATCGTTTTCCTGCCACGTGATAGAGCGTCCTGGACACTTTCGTACAATGTCCTTTGACATTCCAATGCCATGTTATTCTTTCATTCCGACCGAAGCACTGCCCAAGCAGGTATACCGGCAGTCCTTGACAAGGGCATAAAATTATGGATGCTTCACATCACGAAGCGCTGTCTTTGTTTGCTTTTATAGAGACCCAACTGCCCAAAGCCCCGAAGAACTTGAAAGCTGCTCTCCAAAGTCCGACATCAGCAGTGATTACGTGGAACAAACCCGAAGGTTCTTCTCTACCAATCACAGGCTACCTACTTTCATTCAGACAACAAGGAGGAGAGTTGGAATCAGTTAGTATTTCTGGAGACACGATGACCTACTTCCTCACTGGCCTCCAACCATCGTCCATATACGAACTTTCGCTCCGCGCTTCCAGCCAATATATCAATGGCGAACCGGCTACCATTACGCTGTCCACTGTCGTAGCAGGTAGGCTGTCCACGTAATACTTTTGATCGTTGCAGTCCCTAATGTTTCACCGCCTCTTTCTAATCACTGCTATCATCGATTTTGCCACTCTCAAATCCCCCCCCCCATCATCATCAGACCAGCAAAGGCTCTATCAGATCCCGTTTTACGGAGCACCGTTTTTGTTTTCATTCTGCTTTTCCCATATTCTTTTTAGTCATCCCTCTTCTTCTGTAACAGAGTGCGAATCTCAAATCTCAATCGTTGCACTTCATTTGCATATCGGTTTCCTACACCCTCTGAGCCAAACTCCCTATTCCTCATTTTCGTAACGGCAGGCTGGGTGGACCCCACTTACTTGCGCATACAAAAGTGGTTACTGAATTTATTTAAGTAGGCCCTGTTTGCTTGCCATTCCTTTGAGCACAGAGGTGGCCTTTGCTTTTCGTCCCTACACATGCTTTCGGTTGACGGAATATTAGCTATAGTCAGTTTTGGCCAAAACACTTGAGTAAATTTGAATTGCCTGGTCACCATCGCGCTAATTCGTGTTGCTACCGTTGACCAAAATATCGATGTATTAACCAGTGAGACATCCTTGCGTCGGCTGTTCAACCAAGGCATTTGTTACCACACCGGACCGCCCAAAATTTTGTTTTCACGTGCTTATTCACTAACAGCACCAACAAGAGAACGAGCATCCACACAAACTAGTCTGTAAACTTTAAAAAATTAAATTTGCACTCTTGGAGAAAAAAGCGGCATCGGATCCGAGGATGCTGTATCAACGGTCCCGCGGCTAGGACATTCTTGGTAAGCGAATATGAATTTGTATTCAAGCTCCTAAAATAATTTTACCCCTAGTCATTTCAGAAAAACCAGTTAATTAAGATGAATCATATATGTAGTTTCCTCTTTCTTTGGCTGATTTGTGTTCAGATTCTGTTACCATGAGTACGGATCGGGTTGCAGTTACTTGCAGTTGCTGCCTTACTAAGCAGTAGCACATGACTCACAACAGCGTCGAAATAAGTGCACCGGCAGCTGCAGTATGTGTCAAAAATCCTGGTGTTTTGAAGGATTAGTGAATACCCTCTTCTTGCAAGATCGTGAATCGGTATACTCCGAGAACCGAAGACCCGGTTGCTGATAGGCGATTACTGTGGGGCACTTATAGTCACTTTCAGCACTGGCGTTTCCAAATAGGCAGCTTTGTTGGACTTCGATTTCAGACTTTGCTCATGGTTTGAACTACTAGATTGATGAAATACTTTTTGGTCTCTTATTCCTCTAATTTACCAACTAATAAGGCCAGTGCTTAACTAAAGAAGACTATATCTGATTACTATCGGTTTCATACTTCTCAGATGAGGCGCCCTGTCAAGAATAATGCCTGAAGCACTATGTGTCCTTGCATGTGTTTGGTAATTTAACCCTCACCTTCAGATATAAAAATGTTGCGGCCAGTCTCCTGTAGTCATGAGAGATGCACTATGGATTGATGCGCAATCAGCAGTGAGGTTCTTGATTGTTTAATAGCCATAGATTTTTTTCAGTAGGGCACAAAACCAATTTCAACTCAGAATGACCTGCAAGCAAATTTAGCGGCCAATGTTCAAGCGCTCGAAAAGCGTAATCGTTAATCGTAGGAGCGCTTAGCTGTGTTCCCGTGTTTTTTGGCCGCAGTGTGCGTTCTCTCTAAAGGCCCTCCTCTTAGGTAGTCGGATCGCGATTGCCTCTTCTGGCTCAGAAAAACCTGATATTATCCATTGTTGGTTTAAATCAACAGAAGTGAGTAAATCCGAATTGTCTGGTCGCCATCGTGCTATTTCTTTTTGCTAGCGTTGACGAAAATGTCAGCGCATTAAGTGAGAAAGAATTCCTGCGTAGGTTTTGCAAACCGGACCTTTGTAATCACAACATGCCAATTTCCTGAAATAAGTTCACTGGTGGATTTAATGTGATGCACTCGCTGCCTAACTTAGAAATAGGACACGACTCACAACGGCCCCCAAATATGTACACCGGCAGCTGCAGTATGTGTCAAAGATCCGGGTGTATTGAAGGATTAGAGGATATCCTCTTCTTGCAAGATCTTGAATCGGTATATTCTGAGATCCGAAGAGCCGTCTGCTGATAAGCGATTGCCTTGGAACGTTGATAGCCAGTTTCAGCAACTGAGAGACGGGACACGAGACGATAGCTGATTTCATTAGATTTTATGCTTCATAGATGACCACCCTGTCAAGAATATTGCCAAAAGCGCAACGTGTCCTTGCATGTGCTGGGTAATTTAACCATCACGTTCTGACATTTTAATAGCCACAGATTTTTTCAGTAGGGCACAAAACCAATTTCAAACCAGCATGAACTGCAAGCAAATTTAGCGGACAATTTCCAAGTGCTCGAAAAGCGTAATCTTTAATGTCTGGCTTTTTTATTGCAGCTCCGTCGTTGCCATCAAATATTCGGGCGACCCAGATAAGTGCGGACGAAGTGCGCATCACCTGGGACCCTCCCAAGTCTTCACGAGCCGGGGCTGGAGACGACGAAATGATTGTGGAATCATTTAAGGGTGGAGTTCTGCAGGAAACGGCCAAGAAACCCATATCCGAAGGTGTCCATACCGTAAACGAAATCCCGCCAAACACTGTGATGTCCTTCACAGTACAGGTCGTCAGTCCTGGACCTCTTGGAGGGTTTAGTGAAATCAAACAGCTTCCGGATCTCATAACCTGGCCAGCACGTAAGTTTTTGAGCTAGCAGATTTCATCAGTCGAATGTGTCAGTGGTTTGAAGGGCAGAAACCAGATTTGCCTGCATAACCACCATACGACGTGTGCTGCAAATCTAACTAAAAGCAAAATAAATAGGCCTGGAGGAGTGATGTCATTCGAAGTTAACCTGAAAAGCCTCAAAAAACTACTCGTTTTCGCCTCTCATGAAGTCCTATTCAGTATTTCCGGATGCAGTAGTATGTAACTGGTCGATAAAAATCTGCATTATATCCTGTAAATTAGCGCATTTCACTTCTTATAAACTCATAGCAACTCTATTCAAGCCACACATGACATATAACGTAAAAAAGCGTACACGTGATATTATCAGGTTCAGCATGCTTATGAGAGAATAATGGTCTATTAAAGACAACGTTAAATAGTCTATCTGTTTTAAGTTCGGTCTATAAGCATTGATCGACAAGAAATATTGGGTAAGACCTTATTTCGTAGCCTCACCTGTTCGGGGTTAGGGTTAGGCGTTGGGATTCGGGGTCGGAGTGGAGACCTCGCTATGGCAGCATTGATCAATAAAAAATATCGTCCGATGGTGCGCTCGAGGAAGCATGTCACTCAGGATATCTGATTGCTCCTCTGTTGGAGCCTAGTTTAGATTAATTTGCCCGGCATGACTCAGATGCCTACTCTCAGGGCAGTTTGATTAATTCTAACGATCGCAGGTGCCTAGCTGATTTCTACTTTAAGAAGCTTCCTCAGTGAGAACGAACTAACGTAAAACGTTTACATTTCAGCACTGGCAGCACCAAAGGGGCTCAAATTGACAGCAACGGGAGAAAACAGTTTGTACGCCTCTTGGACTGAAAATGAAGAAAAAGCCCTCCTCCTGAAGTATGAAATAAGAGTTACAGCGGCTGATACGAAAAAGACGGAGATCCACTACACGGATAGCACATCTATCTCAATTAACAACCTTGACACATTCACGGAATATACCGTGGAGGTCGCGGCAGTTGGCAAACCAAACCAAAATGGAGAAGGGTCTGTGGCTGGCCCAAATTCCGCGGCCACAGTTAGGACGTGGCCAGGGCGTAAGTTTATCATGAATGACATTCTATTTAAAGGCTTGTTATATATATTGCCATTATCGTCAGCAAATAACACTCCTCTGTCACATTGTTGGGTTTAAAACGTGTTTATTGTGGCGAGTAGTTTTGTTTTTATATGCCATGACTTGGTGTTACGTGCGTTCGGGTGTTTAAAACTTTTGACATGCAGATGTAGGTAGAAATTTAACAGAGGAAAAATCTGTGGACAACATGTGTGCATCATATGGACACCCTATGTAACCTTTTGTTTAAACACAATTTATAGTGCAACTATCAGAGGTATCAAGTAATGCTGCTTTGCATAATACTTGTGCGCGTAACTTTCGCTACTGTCGATTTGGTTATTACGACGAGAAATGTTTATTCCTTTGTGCCATGAATAGTCGTAACGCGCCTACTGAGTTCCTCATTGGCAAGACGATGAGGTGGTTGGTAGAAAATCATGTCTTCTTCGTATATTATACTCAAAGAAATTGTATTTTTCGGTTTTAAAACGTTTCTGATCATGAGACTTTTTAGGTTTGTGCAATGCTTATTCATGCAGCACCGTACCTGTACGCCTATTAATGCTACGCACGAAGTATACGGCATAGTCCGCATTCACTCTACTTGGTATATTTTCGAAGGCGTAGAGGAGTATGCGATTTTTTCTACGCAGAATGTACAGATCTTGTAAACGTAAATCGCCCGACGTAGAAGTGCTGATCTGGCACATACTCTTTTCGAGTATAAAACATGGAGAAGATATGGTCTCTTACCAAATGAGATAAAAAAAGCATATTTAATGCATGTTTTTTATAAAATATATTTAAATTTGTAAAACCATCGAAAATGAATGTTAAATATGCATACTATTATGTAGTCATCTATTTGCTGAGTTCGGTTTTTACTTGAGGACGAAAAAAGGTACATTGAGAAGTCAACAACCTGACGAGTCCGAAATACTAGTAGACGGTGCCGCGTGATAATCAATACTACAACTCCCCCTATGTAATCCTTCCTAATTGAAAGCGCATTTCTGAGTTTCGGCTAACATTTCATGAGATCTGTCACTCACTGTTTTTAATTATGGTAGTACTTGCGGATGTTCACCTATTTAAAGGACAAAAATATGAAAATCACTTGCATCTGACATATTCCTCCAGATATTCACTCTACTAAATTTCTACCTGCAAATATATACCAAGAGCTCCCAACCACACCATCGTCTAGTTAATGAAGAACTCAGTATGACAAATAGAAGTTGCAGATGTTATTGCCATTGTGAGCTAACGTCTGGACGCCAAATTTTTAAGAATGTAGTGTCACCTGTCTTGTCAGCTGTACAAAGCTCTGTCAAACCACAATATTCACTAATTGGAACAATTTAACTCGAATTTCTCCTTCTCTTTCACGCTGACAAGATCGTTTTTATGCCTCATTTTAGGCGGAGGAATTCCAGCAGAACTGAATGGCAGTGCAACAGACACGAGCATTTTACTCTCGTGGGAGAAGCCTCAAGGACGTCCGACGGGCATAGTAAACTACTACGAGGTAACGGTCAAGGACAAGACCGGCAACGAACCCGACAAGGTTGTCCAGGCCTATGCGCAAACATTCACCGTTCAGAACCTGAAGCCTCTCACAATGTACACAGTCGAGGTACGCACAAGGAATAAACCTGCTGAAGGCACTAAAAACGGGGGCGGCGGCGGTTTGGGCGATCCAGCAATCCTAGACGTCGAAACCTGGCCAGGCGGTAAGCATTCTCTTCCCTCAGCACTGCTCATATACTCACTGGAGTCGTCAGAAGTTAGGTTCGTTGATGGGGTTGATCAAGAATAATGCCCGAATTTTCGTTGCTGGGATGATTCGTGAGACGGTTTTGTCAAGGTGTCTTCTTGGGATTTCACTCCGCACGTGCCCTTGAAAGGGGATTATGAAGGGCAGAGCTTACTTTTCTGTCACAAGTGTGGTGTATTTTGCTAATATCTTGATAGTATTCTTCACAATATATCTGTCAGGATACCTGTTCTGACCAAGCGGGTCTCGGATCCTTCTAAGCCCCTCCTTCATGTTGTCTGCCGAACAGATTTCAGTAAGATGTGGTTATGCACCCCCACCTGATGGACACAATGCTGTTGGAGTTGGGGTTAGGGGTTGGGTTAGGGTGAGGGGTTGTGGTTAGGAACGAAGGCTAAGTGTTAGGGTAACTATGTTTTGATCATCGAAAGTAAAACCGCGCATTCCCAATAGCTTTTCTTTTGTACACAGTTACTTGACCTCGCTGCCTGTGCGTTTCCCGGTCCCACCTGTAAAAACCCATTACCATAGGTTCCTTATTACAGGTGGCTGGGGTTTGTTTACTTCAGGCGAGACTATATAACCAAATCTGGCCCAAATTTCTCTAGCCCTTTGTGACAAATAGCAATCTAGATTACATTTATGTTGAAGGGACACAAAACTAATAAAGTTCACATATTATTCAGACCACGTTTTCTTGCTGAAGGCGCTCCTTGGGACTCTATCATTGGATTACTTCATTTTGACGGTCCGCTGTCTTTGATCATCCTCATGCAGAATTCGTAATGTGTCCTGATGCAAAGAAATTGGATCCGACTAAAGCATGAAAGCCCCATTAATTGGATTATATGCAATGCCCAATTGTCTCACATTTTTTCCCCACTTCAGGCTCCCTTGTACCAACTAACGGAAAAGTGGAACTTCTGCCACCTTCGGCGATAAAGGTGAGCTGGTCGCCACCGCAAGGCCTAATTGGCTCCGTTGAGGAGTACCGTGTTCTGCTCAAGAAAGGTGATGTCCTCGTTCGCTCTGAGTCGGCACCACGAACCACAATGAGTCTCGCCTTGACAGAGTTGGAGACCGGCGTAAAGTACAAAGTCTACATTCAGGCCAAGATTGCTCCGAACAGCCAGGGGAAGGGCGGTCGCTTGGGTCCAGAAGTTTTCATCACTGAAACCTCCTTGACTGAATCAGGTATGGTGTCCCGTGTATGTTGGTATTCGGGTTTTCACGATGGGCAAAAGCAGAATACGCACAGTGGGGGGAAATACTCGAAAAACTTTGTCGGAAAGGTTTTGGAGACGTCAGCAATGGAAAACATATATTTGATGAGGTGGCGCAAGCCAAAGCATACGTGATAACACCCAGGCGGTCAAAGCACATGCTTGCAGTCACTGGTCGGTGTTTCACATAGGAAAGCGTTGCGTCATGATAAGTGTATTCTTTTCTGTAAATATGTAAGCGGTGCCGGAAAGTGATGCTTATTTTAACAAATAACAACAAAGGCATTGTCGGGAAACGTTTTACTTTCTGAAATGTTATGCAGACACGGTCGGCATCAATCACTGCTGCTCATCCTGAAACTAAGTTTTGCCTCGTCCTCTTTATATATAAGTGGTTTTGCTGTGATGCAGAGAGTTCCAAGAACCTGGTGTTGCTGTCATTAATATTTCAAATGATTGTTCCGCCAACGTATTGCTCCAGACATCTCAACAAATGATGACTAGTTGGCGCGCAGTCAGGGGAATAGGCTCGATAGGACGAGAATTTCCACTCCGAATCTCGAATCCCGTTGCGGGTTCCCGGCGCTATAATGCAGCAGAATGACATCTTTTTTGTTGATTAGCGTTGGGTGTGTAACGGCAAGAGCTAGGTCCAAACATTCTTATTATTGACATTAGAGGTCTTTTGTTACGGTTCTATTTTGTTTCAGTAGCTGAAAGGGACGTAGGCCTACCATACTCCATCAAACTCATCGCATTCTTCACTGCAGCGTGGGCTTGATTTCGGTGTAGTAAATGGTCCTTGCACTCATTGTCAGCTTAGTGAATCAATTCCTCGTCTTGGGGGAAAATTTACTGAAGAGATGGTCCCCTCTCCGATCTGCGTGACGAACCGTTGTGGATTGTGTCACCCATAAACTGAATATTTGAAGGAAGAAGGGAGACTGATTTAAAAAGAGGTTGTAATAAGTCCTACGTGCTGTAGATGCCCTCAGCGTTTTTCATTGTTGTGAAGATTTTTGAATTACCTAAGGGTTTTTTTAAATAAATTCACACGGCCATATTTCGTCCCATAGTGCTAATTAGAGAATATTGCAGTAAAAGTGGAGTCCATCTTGTACTGTGTGATCAACAGTGACGAATAGCACGATGGAAAATGTACGTTCTCAGCGTTTGAGAAGGTTTCGGCTGTTTACAGGAGGGAACCAATGTGTGAATATGAGAAAACCACCTTCCTAAAGAGTAGAATGAATAGGGACTTTTGCTTGGATTGTACATATACACTTTGAAAAAGACAAAACAGCCATCGAAGCTTGACTAGAAATATGTCCCTTATGTAGGCAATGGTGCCCTTGTCCAGTGGCGTGTTTATAAGAGGTTATAGACGACCGGCGAGGATTGATTTTCCTGCTAATTTCTTCCTTAACCCTTCCTAAACAGCCGTTTTTACATAAAAGATTGTCGATGAAACTCCGCCGATATTTCCAGAGAATTACTGCCAATCTGTGAATTTCTGCTGTCGTGTTCAACGACCAGGTTACGCATTAGTACCAAGGAGCTTTAGGACTTCGGCATTAACACCACCATGATTGAAGACTAACTACGTCCACTAACTTAATTAACTATGTCTACTTTGTTGGAGATCTACACAACGTAAGTACAACTGTCAGGGACCCGTTGTCGAATTAGTAATTCTAGTTCAAAGTGTAAAAAAACAAATGTATCGAATAAAACGAGGATTGTCAATTTAAAGTCACCATTTCTAGGTTAGGAACGCCAGTCAGCCGGCTAATAAAGATGAAACTCCCAAAATGACAGTTTGAACTCAGGCGCCCACCTCTGAGTTGCATGATAGTTTTCTAAGTCTACAAACTATGTCATTTGTTAACTGCGATTGGCGTCAATCCTCCACGTTGTGAAGGGTTTCAGGAAGTGTGGCCCACAAATTATGTGTGAAATTGATTGCGATGCACTGTTACCCCTATCATTATATAATTTCTGCTCTCTAACCTGTGAAATGCTTCATTAGACTAGTCAGAGTAATAAAATTTGCTTTTAAATGTTAATTTGATTGCTTCGGAACGCAAACATACATTTTGATGCTTCATTTAAACAGAAAATAAAATAGTTTACCCAGCTGTTCAAAAACCATTCGAAAGCTTAACGCCAAAGGACTTCTTAAGCCTGAGGATCACTGCTCATGAAATGGACTGTAACGTTTCATGAAACATCAGCGTAGAGGAATTACAGTTCTACGATGTTGAAAATTTTGCTAGATAGAACAATGGAGATCTTCAGGATATTCCGGATTTCGTTTTCGTCATAATCGAGGAGTCTGACATGAAGAGTATGTCTTGTCATAGAAAGACAGCCCTTAATGTTCCTACCACGTGCTTATCCAATATTTTAACTGCTACTGAGCTCATAGCCCAAATCTAGAGACTTTTATAGACTTTACATTTGATATGAGTAATACTCATTGCAGTTCAAGCTTGTGTTTGTCTTCGGCAGGTGGCGGAGGTGACGTCCAGCTCACAGGTGGCCTTAGCGGAGGCGCCATTGCTGGCATCGTGATTGGTGTCCTTCTCGCGTTCGTTCTCCTGCTTCTCCTCGTCCTTGTTCTAATGAGAAGACGCAACCAGAACGTTATGATCGATGACTTCCAGTGGTCAGAAGGAACAGGCGCAAGCTTCTTCGTTGACGACATAGAGATGAGCACATTTGGAAGGTAAGCGTCACGACGGGCTCTTTCTGTGATTTGTAATTTCTTCACACTTTGAAGAAAGATGCGACCTCCCATCAGTGCAAAGCGATGGCGCCCCAGAATGCGGGTTTTCCCGCATGGTTTGCCTTCTGAGAAAGGCCTTTTTAATTTATTCCGATAGACATTTTAGTTATTTTATGTGACGGGAAATGTCAGTTTTGCACTCGGTAGTATGTCGCTCATTTAGCTGGAAACTTCTGCAAACAATGCGGTACGCACGAGCATTAGTGAGGAAGTCGTTTCTGATTTAGTCGCGTAAGAGATGACCGCGTTAATGCGCTCGGACGCCAAATAAGTTCACTGAGGTCATCTTCTGAAGTGGAACTATCTAACGCCACGCTCTTTGAGGTTAGTTTAGTATTACATGCAGAACGGTACTGGGTACTTCACAATGAATTTTCGCATTTAAATAGAATTTATGAGTGAAGTCAGAAAGGTTTACTACTAAAACTTTATTCTTACGACCAAAAATTAAATCCAGATTATTAACCACGTTTTTTGCGTGATTACGTTATCCGGTGTATCCCTCCGGGCGACTTAAGAAGCGTTAATTTTGAAACACTAAATTTAGGGGAGCACATTTGCTAAAACCATGATAAAGTCATCACGCGATCAGAGACTTTAAACGTAGCATTAACTTCACCCTACATTACTTTCTTATTTTTCCTTAAGTTATATAATCAGAGGGTAGGAACTGGATCAAGGGACTTTGGTTTGTTGAAGTGCTGTAGCATATGTGACTGGAATAAATTACCTTAAATTAGGAAATTTGAAATAATGAAATGATCAAAAAGTAGAATCAGAATTGGTTTTTCGTCATTTTGAACTCCACGTTCCTTTTAAAACGATGAGCACAACAAGGAGGTAAATCGACTTGTTTTCACTCACAAAAAAACACTTTTAAATAGATTCTTGAGGGTTTTGGCAATTAGAGATTGACAGTTCGACCATCGATTTCGATGATGTCCACCGTGTGCCCCACAGACTGCAATGTGGGAGCAGGGGCGGTGACTTGCGCAGGGGTTTATAGTGCCAGTAGACTTGCGTAGCATCTACCTACACTCTCCCCTCCTCCCCCACCTGAGCCCGGTGTCAAGACCAAGTCAAGAAGACCGGAGACGGGGGAGGCCGCAGGTGGATGGCTCGGACGGATCCTGTCTTGGCGCTCCACTCCGCACCCCCTGGTCTACACACAAATAACCAGGATTTTGACCACAAAACAATGGGGTGGTGGCAGTGGTCCAGTTGTACGACGAATGCCGACAACAGGGTCCGCCAGCGCACCCCGCAAATGTTGGCATTTGTTATTGCGCGCAGATAACGCCTGCCAGAGTCCGATGTGGCCCCCGTGTTGGTCCAGCGCATCTAACACGTGGCCCGTTCTGAGGGCACAGCAATAAGAGATTACATTTCTTAACAATACCACATATAATGCCATTGATGACATTGTTGACGGGTTTCTACCTTGAACTGTGCTTTGCGAAAAACTTAAAAATCACATTGGAGACCATTTCAGCGGTGACGAACACTAAATATAGGTCGTGATGAAAATGATGTAAATTATGGTATTAGAGGTTGTAAACCGACATTAGACCAGTATATTTTTAAAATTATTGTTCTAAATGGGTATTGCATATTATTGCATTTAAGAGCGTGTACAAAACTTATGCATGGATGATTGCGGTAAACGTTAAAGTCAGACGTTCAGAGAAAAAATATTGACTTTATCCATACATAGGTTGTTGCACGTTTGAACCGCCTTTGGAATTCACTGACTATTCATCTCTTATTTATGCTAATTGCCTCTAAACAAACTAAATTTTACTGTCTTTTTAGCGATATGGGGTCAATGTTGTAAAACGACCTGAAGGGATCCAGGCGTTCGAAAACTCCAGCAAATGACCAACTGGCTCATCAATGAAATTAATACTTGCTTACAACCGCGAAGTCCGAAAATTAATTCTTATGCCCTTTTCAATGCTTAAAATACCAACCTTGGTTTTCGAAAATAAAATTAACTGAGACATGTTATTTCTATAAATTGGATTGGGAATATTTATTTTTGAATCCATAAACGTTGACCTTTACGAAACTCATGAGATGAGTACATGGGGAACGGATGCAGTGACTCATAGGACATAAAATATTAGATGATGCAGGAAAGCAACTGAAGATGATCTAAAATGAGAGTATATCTTTTATAAAATCGCGTGGATATTGGTGATAAATAAGAACAGTAAACGTAATAAATTTTAAAAGGACTAGACTTATCTCTGAAGTAAAGTTTACATAGCTTCGGAAATACACAACGTGGAGGTTTTGCCGAATGTCCAAAAACGTCGAAGTGCTTATTTTTCGGCCATGTAATTTTGAACGGAAGCCTAACGAAATATTTTCATACTTCGCGAGTTCCTTCATTTGCGTCGGTATTTAACAATCGAATCCAACCTTATCTAACACATTAAGAGCAAATATTTTACGATAGGAAACATTTTATCCAGGACCAGATTATCAACAAACATTAGGGAGACTGGTATGGTCGTTTCTGGCCTACAAGTCATCGTCCGTCAGCCTTACCCAACTCCGGGTTCGGTGTAATCCGAGGCTCGGACTTGCGTTCTTCTGACTGATAGGCGGTAGTACATCCAACTGCAATCGTTAGTCCACAGACTCCTTGTCCTGTCGGTTGGGATCGGAAATATTAACGTTCACTGATCGGATGACGGGACCCGCTCGTCCTGTTGCGCTTTGAGGCTGGATCTGGACTCCCACAGCATTCGTACAGCGACAGGCAATATACGCAGGAGATTACCAATAAAGAGAAGGGAAACTGAGATTTCTCAGTGGTTAGAACTGACATCTAGTGAACCATAACTGTTTATCGAACTCCCCATTGTTTACTTGTCTGACCTGAAAACCCGCTCAGTTACTGATTAAAATTCTACGAGAGCCGAGTGAAGAAAGATTTTGTCTCCCCGGGACACTTGTCTTCCTGAGACACTTGCAGACACTGCTCTCGCGGTGTCGGTCGAGCCATCGTCCGACTGCCAAATCCTACCAACCTCTTCTCTAATCGTTCTGCACGGAATAAAACCTCCTCCCAACTGGCGTTCCACGCCTTAGGCCGCTGCGATAGTAACACTACCGAGGTGGGCGCGGGCTCGATGACTGACAACGCTATCCACCTCGTCTAAGCGTGCTAAACACACAATATGTTCCCTGTTCATGTTACAAGGACAATAATTTCTGTGTAAGTGAAGATCATCATGGATGCACACCAGGCCGATAACACGAAGTTTTTTAAATTAAATTTTAGAACGGACAAAGTGTGGAATGTTAGCCTCAGTTTGCAGTAGGTGGATCTGACCTACCTGGGGAATTAACATTTAAATGGAACTTGCAATCGGAACTCAAGTAGTGTTTAGGTTTATTCTGGGCTCTAGGAAGCTGTTTTCTGCTCTAAGACCTCATCCAACAGTCGCTGTGACTAAGGAACGAAACTCTATGAGCTCAACCATGGCTTCTTCACAACACGGTGCATTTTCAAAAACATCATGCAAACACGACAAGTCGACGGGGCATACGTGGCGAATTTGTTGAAATATTCATGAATTCTGAAGTGATATTTCCCCAGTACGGATTTGACTGCAAACTCCATGCTCACTAGGCGTCATCGGGTTTTCCGCGATTCGCCTATAACTGGCTTAGTAGGTTGCGCTAGACGCCGGATTTTAAGTGGCAGTGGTTCAGGGGACGGGTGAGGAAACAAATTCGCGTTTTAAAAAAATGGGAAAAAATGTACAAAAAACTGGTATTTCCTGTGACGTCTGTTTCGATCAGGCAGGATTTGGAGATGAGCTCTGTAGAGCATGCTTTACTCGTAGTTATTTCCTGGGTCTACGTGAACACTGAAGACCCAAGCTGAGTCCACAACAAGACGTTAGCCAAGATCGTTCTCGTTCACTTTGTACTCCGTGCACTGTGAATGGTCTTTTCGTTAAACTGAGCCAAGGCTTATTTTATTCAGGATGCGGTCTACCGGGTTTTTGCCCTGATCATTATTCAGACAGCGCAACGAAGTCACAGTCTTGTACTTCATGGGGTAACCCTGACAACTACTTTGCAATGATAACGCAAGTGGAACTGGAACCTCTTAGAAGCTTATAAAGTTTTGAAGACCAAGTTGCAAGTTGGTCGTCCAGGTTACTTTATCTATGATGATGTTTCTGAAGTAAATGACTCCCACACTAATTTGTATCGCACACAGCCCCTAATGCAGGTTTTGTCAATACCGGGAGTATGACGTCTTTTTTGCGATAATGGTGTTATTTAAGCGGAATTTGTCGATCAAATATTTTTAGAGAGGTTATCGTTCGACCTTCGCTTCGTCGTCGAATTGTCTGCGATGTTGTTGCCGAGCTGGTTTAACGCCTCATGGTGACCTCCGGTCTGTGTGCAACTCCAACCCCAAGTGGTGCAAGAAGGCGGCTAACGGCCTCGCAGACGTTCTTGATGTACGGGATCGCTCGCCAGAATTTGCGGTCGGCACAGTTTTGCCGCTCGTCTCGTTTGCACATACACCGGTTGACGAAGTTGCGCGGGTAACCATTTTCTCTGAAAACCCGTCAAAGATATCGGGATTCGGCAACCTTGTCTTCCGGTTCACTTCAGTGCGTCTCAACACGCCGATGTAGCGTTCTTAAGCAACTGCGTTTGTGCTTGATTGGGTGGTTACTATTGAGGTTCGCTATTTGCGTTGTGTTCGTCGCTTTTCTGAACACTTTGGTTTTTAGGCCGCCACAATCTTTGCGACAGACGAGGACATCAAGGAATGCCAGCTGGTTATTTTCTTCCTCCTCCATCGTAAATTGAATGTCCGGGAAGACGCTTTTGAGACGTTCTCTGAACATTAGCGCTTGACCACGTTCGATGAAGACGAAGGTATCGTCCACATACCGAGCCCAGACCAAAATTCTGGGCTCGGTTGGAGTTGCACACAGACCGGAGGCCGCCATGACGCGTCAGGTGATGAATGGAAATGGACATTCAGTAGAAGATATTCTGCCGTTGCTGAGATATCGTGGAATTATGTCGCAGATAATGATTATTACGACTTTAACGAGGCAATTCTTTTGAATAAAAGAAACAATTCGGAATTCCTAGTTGTGGAAGTGAGTAGTGCTAGCCTCAGTATGCATGAAATAACTGTTTAAGCAACAGATATTTGGGTGCAGGTTCCTCGGTGTGAAACAACTGAATTATGGGACTGGCCTGCTTGTCCAACTGAGCGCTACGACAGACTGGCGCGCAGTCCAAATACCAATGACAAAGTGCTAGCGGCCCAGTCCCGCCAGAGAATCTCGTAGGATGGGTTTTGCCTGACAGTTGAAGCTGAATCAGTAAGCAAGGGTTTGCTTTTCCTCTTTTTCTAGGAGGCGCCACGCGACCGAATTAATGAGGCCTCTGTAAGTGCTGCGTAAAAATTGTCTATTTATCCCAGCATATTCAACAATTTCTTAAACGAAAAATGATGAATTAATTGGTTGAAGCTTAAACAGGGTCAGCCTAATTGTCATGGGCACCCGATTAAACGATTTCTCCATACACCGTCAACCTAGCTTCCCACCCGCCAAAGCCTTATTATTGTGGATTTCGAGTCTGATTTATCAGAGTCCGCTGGAAGCACTCAGTATACGTGAAAGTGGGGGACGTTCAGTAGAGAGACACCATGCTGACCATTCGAATGAGTCTGCAAGAGTCCTTGACTTAATTCAAAATCACACTTGCGCTAACCCCTAACTTTAACCCTAATCCCTAACTATAACCCCTTATCATAAACCCTAACACCTAACCCTGGCCCCTGACCATAACCCCTAACCTCTAACCCTACCGCCTTACCCTAACCCCAACAGTATTGTGTCCATCAGGTGGGGCTTTCAAACCACATCTTATCCAAAACAAAAATCAGGGACAAAATCACAGTGCTTACCACTGCTCATCTTCCCATCATGAAATATTTGCTCGCCTCTATAACGTCCAGTCGCCAATCGATCTGAAGGAAGAAACTGACCTGTTGGAAGATTAGGATCATCACCCCCAGTGAGACCAGATTTTCCGGAGAAGGATAACTCGATGAGGTGGTTGCTGGTTAAATTTCCTTCTGAATTAGATGGAATCCCGTTCCCATTTCGCCATCAATGAAAAATTCCTAGCCTGTCACCGGAAGTCCACGATTGCCCCATTCCCGGAGTAGTTGATATAAAGATATAAAAAATAAGTAATGCTATGTGGATATGACTACTATGAACTATAATGCAAGAGCGAAATTCGTTGTGCTGTTAAGGGTAACAGAATTTGCAAATTACTCATTGGCCAAAAGGCCTAAGCCCTTCGACAAGTATTACGCAAAGCCATTTGCTGAACGTCAAATTCTCCATTCCAATTTTCGCTTCAGAATGCTTTCGCATTTTGCGTATAGGCGAGACGAGACGCGTTGCTGTCTGTGAATACTGAACTTATTTGACCAATCTTTTGTAGTGCATAAATTTAGTACTGGGAGACTGCATTTGGGTTTACTTGTAGTTAGCCGCTTGAAGCATTCTTAGGCAGCGGAAGCACACACTAATTAAACGTTGTCTGACAAATAACATTGTTTCATGTCCGTCTACCCTTCTTTTAACTGGTATCAACTTAGCCTATAAGTCAAGACTTCAAATTAGACGAAATAGTAGTCTTAAAGCCCTTCAGTCAGAAATGTTTTTGTCGGCAAATGTTTGCTTTCAGTTTTATTAAAAACCTACTCAGCCGTAATTCTCAAAGTGGCATATACTCCAGACGGAGGCTGACTAAACTCTTAAGAGTGAGTTATTATCTAAAACAACGGGATATGCACATATATACAGTGAGTGAGCTTTCTCATTAAATGTTGACTGAAATTCTGAAATGCGTTTTCGATTAGGAAGGATTACTTGGTCGCGGTTGTTATGCTGCTTATCTTGTCGCATACTCTTATAACATTTCGAACTCGGCAGGATGTCGGCTTTTAAATGCACTTCTTTTCAATCTCCTGTAGAAAGCGTGCTCGGTAAAAAAATGACTACTTAAGTAGCATGCATTTTTCCCATTGATTTTCGATGGTCTTGGAAATTTAAATATATTTTATAGAAGCCATAAACAAAAATATGCTTTCTTTTTGTCAATCAATAGAGAATCACGTCTTCGTTATATTTGATACTTAAGGAAGGAATATAATTAGGTTTTCAAAAAGTTTCTAATTATGAGACTTTTTAAGACCGCGAAATGTCCATTCGCATAGCATCGTACCTGGTCGTTTACCACTGCTCCTCGTGAGATGTACAACATGGCCCGCATCCACTGCAAAATTTTATGGACTCTGTATGATATCTCTTTAATGGCATAGAAAAATTTGTGATTTTCTTTACGCTGAACGAATACACCTTGTAGAGTGAAATCACTAAGCGCTAATGCAACGAATGATCAGGCCCCAAATTATTCGGAAATTAAAAAACTTTTTTAAAACCTAATTTTACTCCTTCCTTAAGTATAAAAGATGAAGAAGACGTGATTCTCTATTGGTTGACTTAAAGAAAGCACATTTTTGTTTGTGGTTTCTATAAAACATATTTGAATTTCCAAGACCATCGAAAATCGATGGGAAAAAGGCATGCTACTTAAGTAGTCATTTTTTACCGAGCACGCTTTCTACTGGAGGTTGCAAAGAAGTGCATTCAAAAGCTGACATCCCGCCGAGTCCGAAATGTTATAATAGTATGCCACAAGATAATCAGTATTACAACCACGACCAAGTAATCCTTCCTAATCGAAAACGCATTTTAGAATTTCAGCCAACATTTCATGAGATAGGTCACGCACTGTAAGCCTGAAAAACAAAACGTGTTTAGTAATTCATGATTTGATAGGCCGTCTGTCCATTGCTAAATAAGTTGACTGTTATCATGATACACATGCTCTGTAATTTATGAAGGCAAAATGTGAGCAATTACATTTTGATGGATGGAATGGGAGCAAATTATTTATTCGCGATTTAATTGAAGCATTGTTTTTCCGGAAGAATCCTGAACAAGGCAGTGGGTCTTTTGGTCAAAAGAAACATCTGGAGTCGTTTACCGGATCTGATGCAGTTGCGGACAAAGCAACTACGTCGGAGAAACTG